TTCAGCTGGAGTGGCAGTCTGTAGGGTACAAGGGCTTCGTGACGAAGGTGAGCCGAAACCAGAAACCACGGGATCACTGACTAACCGGAACTCTTAGGACATAGCGATGGGTGAACCTCTGTACAATGTCTTGTTGAAGATGCTGGATAAGATCTGGGACAGTGGTCAGGGGGACAGAGGGGATGATGAGGGAGATGAAGGCCGGGAGCACCAGCGTTGGATGACATTCCTCCGATGCATCAGGTGAGAGAACAAGTGAACTGTATGAGTGTCAATGTGGCTCATACACTGAAGGGTGGACTACTGGCCCAGGGAACGTAAAGCTGTTGTAATCGCACCTCTTTTCGCGGAAGATAAGGCCTTTATGATCGCCAACACCGTCGCCACGGCTCTGCACGAGTACGAGCCTACCCCGGGCAGAACCGCACTACAGGTCTGCCGCCGCAACTACCACGTCCAGACTGCGGATGTTTGGTGCCGATTGATGTACAACGCAGTACGTATCGATGCCATGAAGAATACCCATGCAGAGGCCTGCCCCTTCTTCTGTATTGTGGCTCAAACGGCCGAAGAGTTTATGTATGAGACGAAGAAGGTGAGTTATGTCGCTTACAACTTGAAGCTATGACTCTCTGACATGATTGCGCAGATGGCGCTCATTGTCAAGTCTGGCAAGTTGGGCCGCATTCTGGGGTTCATCGTCGTACTCGTCAGGGAGGCCGGCCACGATATTGAGCCCGCGAAACTGTTCAAGTCTAAAGCCCTCAACTCAGTCACCTACCACATGCACTGGAAATATCCGTCGTCGAAGACTATTCCATCCCCAAATATGGAGTGTCGTGTGCTCTTCTACACCTCAGGAGAGATTGACGACTTTGTTGGCCGTGCTGGGTCAGCCGTCACGCTGGAGGACTGGGAACGCAGCAGTAACTTCATGGTACGTCCAATCCTCTTGAACGTTCATGAGTGCCAACTGATATCTTCTTTGGAAGTGGCTGACCGGGTACAGTTGCAGGGTCGCTAGCTCAGTTCCTGAGCATGCCTGGAAACAGTTCAACCACCGTGCTCGACGCCTTATCATGGAGTACGTATCATACATCAACACAACCAAGCACTTCTATACGTACGACTTCGCCAAGACGATGCTCGGAGTACCTCTCGACTTCGACTTTAACGTCAAAGTACCGCGTACAAAGGAGGAGAAGAAGGGGACGGTCGAGGCCCTTGTAGCTCACTTGTTCGTAGGTATCGAGAATTCGGTGTTGGTTGCAGCTGCGGACAGCATATCTCTGGCGGCGGGCTTAGGCCGCGCAAGCGTTAAGACGCGCTCGATGGGCCTTCGAGGGGATGGCCATTGGCGGTACAGCCTGTTTGCATGAATGTCATAGTTTACCTTCCATGTACGCAACGAAGACGCAATGAATATGTTCTAGGGCACAACACGCAAAGCCGGAGATAAACGGAAGCAACAGAAGCAAGGGTATGTACGTACGGACGCACGGAAGCGGTTCATATGGGCGCTATGCGTGCCCCCAACCCCAAGTCCAAGCCTTCATCGCAACCGAGATCAGTTCAATGGCAACCAGCGATCTGCACGCCGGGATGACCAGCGCTGTCCATGAATGGATATCCCGCATGATCGGCTGTATGGGTCGGTCGTTCGATCAGCTCGAGTCGGTTTACACAAACCAGGAGCGGCTGCTCGAGGGGATCCAGCCCGATATTAGTGTCGATGCCCAACTGGGCTTCGAACGGGTTTCAGTAGGAACCATTGAGACTTTGGTGTCTCAATCGGTGCCATCCGCAACGCGCAAGGTGAGTACATTTCTCGTCCTTATTGTTGCAACTCAAATTGACACCCTTTGTAAGTTCGCCTCACAATATGGGAGGGGTGCTGCGCCCCGTGCATTTCATGTCCTCATCGTATTGCATGAGAAGAGGCCAAACACGCGGCCTGAGCCCACGCCCGTTACAAGGGATCGCTGGGCGGCGTCCATCCGCAACCCCCCGCACCATTGGGGCGCATGGACCGCTCGTCACGGCAGGACGGCCGTACCGTTGCCGTGGTCAACGGCAACGTTGGAAAGAAGGCTCGGAGACCTCCTGCAAGGAGCTGAGTCGTTGCCGTCGGTGGCCCTCGATGGCTACGAAATATACGGCCCCGTTGAAGCGCAAATATTCTTCTTCGGGCCTCACCAATTCCGCCATATTCAGGCCGGGATGACCCTCCATCATCTCAGGGAAACATTCATATATCTGGTAAGTAAAACGGTAATGTAATCAGAAATCGCCTTATGCTGATGAACCTGGAGCCCCTTCACATAGGGGGCTTGGTAGATCAGGTCGTTACAGAGTTCGCCCTCCACGTCCAACAACAGATGGACCATGCGTTTGCGTTGATGAGGGCGGTAACCTTCTTCAACGAGCTTGAGGACCCGACCTCGGCCCTTCCCCCGCTCATCTACCAACGAATTCTATACGTGTCGAAAGCTCACAATAACCTTGCCGTGCTGGAGATCCAGGACGAGGACCTGGAGGACCTGAGGGTGTGGCAGGAGGACCGAGAAGGGTACCTATCGGCGCAGGTTCTATGGCATGTTTCCGAGGAGTGGGCCATTGTGGCCCACCGACTCGTGGTGATGGACGCTACAGCCCGGGTACAAAGTTTGTTTCCGCGTTCTTGAATTTATTTTGTGATAGATCCCCTGACTCCGGCCGCTCTCCAAATCCCATATCCGCCGGTAAAGTGCGTGCCCCAAGGGCCCATTAATGCCATGATGCCCACAACGGGCGCCAATCGCCTTCTCACCTCCGACTATGACGGGACTCGATCAACTAACGCTAACGCTCTCCGAGGAGGAGTGTCGTGCGTTACAATCTCTCCTAGACTCTTTGGAAATTGTTTCTCCGCCCCTACAAACTGTTCGGGTACGCCTGTACCAAATTGGATCCGCATATCGCCAATGTGCCTCAGAGGAGGAAGATATTGATGAAGGGGGAGAGGCGCCTTGCCAAGGTACGTTCGGTAGCCCATTCCTGTTGAGATCGCTCTAGGACACAACTACTACAGCAAGTCCACCCGCCCCGTCCGACAAGCCGGTGTTGCGTCGCTCGGGTCGAAGCGCGAAGATGTCGGCATTGAAGAAATTAACGGGTCGCCGGGCCCCCCTTTTGGAGAGTCCCGGCGGACAGAGTACCCAGCGTGGCGCGAAACCCGGTCGCCAAGCACTCCGGGACACGGACTGTCGCAGGGGCTCGTCCCTTAGAAAATGGAAGCAGCTCACCAAGAGGGCTGCAGAGAAAGCGAAGCCTGGAGTAGCGGCGTTCATTGGGATCTTAGGATCGGTTGATCTGACGTCCACTGAGGTGCACTCGCAACTCTCCATCATGCGCACGATGATGAAGAAAGGAGGGGATGGCCCGGGAGATGACGCCCTCGGTGATTATTCCCTGGTCTCCGTAGTCCGGAGGTGCTCGCGCATCGACGCAGGTGACATGTGTTCAAGCTTTGTCTTTATCATGCAATATATTCAATTGGCATGCAAGACATCAAGGTGGGGCATTAGTTAACTCCCAATCTCCAGTGTCCACATGAACTGATACTAGCGACTAACAGCATTCGTCGCTTGAGGAATTTTACAATTGGACAAGTGTACGACGAATACCTTGCGAATATTGAACAAGCACCAAGTTGGCGTACGTTCGCAAATTGGAATGCCATTGGAAGCAAGTTCGCTGCCATAGCAGCTGGTGGTACGTGGATATTTCTGTGCAGCGTTCACGAGTAAAAACCTCGTCCTGTCAGGCTCTATCTACGCCCTGCTGCTCATTGTTCTGGCGGGCCAGCGTACATTGCTTACAGCGAGCATCAATGAGTTTGCATACTCACTTGCAGACGTTCTTCGAGATCCCGGCGGTATGTATATGTAGTGCCTCGGCATGAATCATAGTCCGACTAATCTGATTTCGGTTTACAGATACGGACACAGGGACGATAGTGGTTCAACAGATAATCCCAGCTATCAACGCGCTCCGATCATATTTTCCCTTGACATTCGACAGCCTGTTCAGTCCCGACCAGTTGAAGGAACTTGGGCTCGCGACGACCGTGCTTGATTGCACGGATTTGCAACAATCTGATGTGATGTTTGACTCTCTGATACTGAAGTAAGATTCTAAAACCACTCGAGGCTTTGGCCGTAATTGACCATTGGAGGTTATGCTAGCCGCTTCACCGCCATCAAGAGGAATCCTGTAGCCTGGGCGTCTTGCCTATCGGGTGTACCAACTGAACCCCAATGCCACGGTGCGATGTCCCTCGCTCAGATCAGCCAAGCCATCTTTCATCCGGGACATTGCGGCATGAATAACGGATCCACATCCGTTACAGTTCTGGATGAGGACGACGAACCTGGAACGGAACAGCTCGACAACGTGATCATGAACCCGGAACTTGTATCGAACAGCTGCATTCAGGTTGAACAGTTCAGCCTTAGTCACGACGCTCACCGTTCATATCCAGTACCGAGGTCGCACTCGGAAGCAACGGCCTGGACGGAAAAGGAGCGATTACTCGCGCAAGCTGCACAGATGCCCGAAACACTGGAGGATTTGAAGGACAAGGTAAGTCGTGGCTCGTTGTGTAGAGAGAGATTGCTGAATGACACCGCGGACTGCTTTCATAGCTCTCTAGTATCTACAGCAACGGTGGGCGAGCGAACTACGAGGAATACATCAGGATAAAGCCTGATATTGCCGGGTAAGAGAACCGTAACAACCGTTCAAGCTCGTGTGGCTCATGACTCGATAGAGGGCCCCTTTGTATCGATGACAGTGATGGGTCTTTGATCGCATGCATACTTCCCCACATGCCCGAAGATATGAGAAGGATGCTCACTGTACACTTGAAAGCTTGCTTCGAGGACGAACCAGAAAACCTGGAAGAGACAGACTCGTCCTCTCAAGGAGAGAGGTACAGCTTCCCGGCTCTACATTTTTCATGGTACAACCGCCATGGTACTAGGGTCAGTGTGTCGTGCTCAGGTAGAACTTAGGCTTGTACTGACAAGTGGACGTTTGCAGGGCCACGATGTTCCTGTCGATGCACATCCCATGTTGATCGAGAGAGAAGACACATCGAGGACGAACTATAGCCAAATGCTCCCCTACGAATCACGAGAGAAGACTAAACATATGAAGCTCTACAATAATCTCAACCGCATCTTTGCCAGGGTCTTCGAATGGATAGCGGGGCAGGTAAGTATCCGAAACGTATCAGTTTGAGGTGCTGAAGAAATCATGATTGTTATCTAGATCAAGGATGTCCTGCGGATGGACTACGACGACCTTCGCATTGACGCGGACATGTTGCCCGGAAATGCGCACTCAATTGTGTATCCCTTCCTTTCTCTTGTCGTCAACCTCAATGTCGCCACTCTCGCTCACAGAGATCATCAAGACAAGACATTGTGCGTTGTCTTGGTCATTGGGGAGTTCGATGGAGGAGATTTATGCTTGTATGAGCCTGGTTTGGTTATTCCGCTTCGTAACGGGGATATTGCTGCATTCCCTTCTGCTCGTACCACTCACTTCAACTTGCACTTTTCTGGCCGTCGTGCCTCCATGGTTCTGCACACAGATAAGGAGATGGACAAGTGGACCAAGGATGGATTTAACGGTTGGCTCGAGAATAATCATTTTCGGTAGTTCCATTAGCGCCAGCGCCCTGTACGTACAATGTTCGCCCCAGACGGCCCTATGTACTTATTTGGCTTGCGTACGCCACAACGGAAGGTGTCACAACCAATGTTCAACTCGATCCCAACACTTGTCTTTGCACCGGACTGATTGTTCATCCCGCTGGGTAAGATTATTTCGCCTTCGTCGGTCTTTCGGAGCACACGGATCCGGGTTCCGTGCGTCCCCGCCACTCCGACCTCTCTGAAGAGATTGCACATCTCGGGTGTATTGTGCGTTTGATCACTCTTTTGTCCCAACTCTCTGCACTTAGTCCCTTTGAACCATGCCCCCTCGCGCAACACGCTCAACCGCCAAAGCAACTAAGGGCGCCAAGGACAAGCCCCAGGCCGCGACAGCGACGCCGGCAGTAGAGAAGCCCAAGGTCACGAAGACGGCAAAGCCCAAGCCCCAGTCTTCGTCCCACAACGATGATGCTGAACCTGTCGTCCCCGCCCCCGCTCCCATGAGCTATCATGCCAGGCTTAAGGAAGTAAAGAAACATATGAGGACGGTACTCAATTTGCCAGAGAAAGAGCTGGACAAGGTAGCGAGGGACGCCGTGGCTCAGGAGGTCAAGAAGAGGGGCTCAGGGGAGAAGGAGCGTCAGGAAGGTGAGCCGATGTCCATAGCATAATGATACTCAATATATTCTATGGAACCCAGACATACAGGAGAAGATGGCTGCCATGATGAACAACGAGGGGTCGACTGGTGGGGAAGTCGATGAGCTGGAGCCTAGCGACAAGGAAGCCGACCCCCGCGATGAACATGAGGTCGAGCCAGATGAGCCCGCTGCTCGCGACAAGGGGAAAAAGAAAGCGGGTATGTAACTCAATTCAGTGTTATTGTGATCGTTGCTCTGAGGCTGTCTCAGGGCCGCCTGCGAAGCCACCATCTACCCCGCTGCGAGGAAAAAGGAAGGCCGCCGATTCTTCCGACGACGAGGGTAGCAATGGCGGGTCTGACTTGACGAAGCGTGGACAGAAGAAAGTGAAGAGATATGTCGTTCCAACGGGGCCGCCAAACTCGAAGCGTCAGATGGAAGTCATGATTCCAATTTCCCCAGAGCGTGCCAAGAAGATGCGTGCACAATCTGTGCCATCCCAGGACGAGGACAGTCTCGCTGCACGTCTTGGTGAGTACATTCGCTCCGAGTTAACGATGACGCTTGATACTTCATCAGGTGCGAGGGGCCCAAAGGCGACGGCTCGAGTTGTGGTGGACAGTGACAACGACATGGGGAGCGACGAGGCGAAGAGAGACAACAAGGGGAAGGGCAGTGATGAGGAGAAGGGGAGCGACGAGGCGAAGGGGAGCGACGAGGAGAAGGGGAGCGACGAGGAGAAGGACAACAAAGACAGCCCGCCCTACAAGCCAGAGGGTAGTGAGCAAGAGCATGACAGCGAAGATGACGGCGATGACAAGGTAATCTCTCACTATAGTTAAACCTATCTACTAAACTGTTTGCTCGTAGATGATCATCAAGTCGGAGAGCGAAGGGGACACAGCTCCCAAGGGGCGGAAGTTGAGAAAGAAGTCCAAGTCCAACGAGAAGACGTCCAAGTCCAACGAGAAGACGTCTGAGTCCAACAAGGAGGTCGTGGGCGCGTTCGAAACGTTCATGGAGGACGAGAGGGTCAAGAGCCTCATTGACAAAGCGCAGCAAGAGTTCAAGGCATACGTATCTCTGGAAAACGCATGGCCGCGCATGAGGGATGGCGTGAACGAGAAGCAGCAAGTGCCTGCTGATATCATTGAGCGGCTCATACGCTCCCACAGCCGATACCAGACGAAGGAATTCCAGGAGCTGTTTGAGCCGAAATGGAATCTGGACAGGACTAAAGCTAAGATCGTCTCCAGAGTACGTGAGGTGCATGATTGCCATCCAATGCTAAAGTTGCTGCGTGCAGGTCAACAAGATGGCCCCTCAGGTTCGTCAAGAGATCAAACAGAAGGCCAGGCTGGTCGTCAATAGGGTGTTCCTCTTTGCGGAGCTGCCACGCGGTTCTGAAGATCAGGATGAAGATGCGGAAGAGCTCAATGAAAGGCTGAAAGAGGCCCAGAAGAAGCGCATCCGATGGCTGAAGGCCAACAACACCTTCCACTACGGGCAAATCAAACTGCCCCCGCCTGACGTTGAACCTGAAGTGGGTTGTTGCTATTGCGCATATTCTGGACGGTTACTGACTCGAGCTAGCTGTGGGACGAGCCGGAGCTGGACATGCCGTTCCACAACCATGTGATCGCAGAAGTCATTGCCGGTATGTGGTACACAGGAAAAAATCCAGAAGCCTTCCGGCCGGGCTGCAGGGAGAAGTACGACCTGGAAGGGCAGTGCAAAATCATCCCAAGCAACATGATAGCACTTGCCTGCTGCGCCGTAAGTGATCAGATCATTGTCCGTGACGGTGCTGTCTAACAGACAAACAACTTGCAGATCTTGGCCGCCTGTAAGCCCGCGGCTTACGACGATATCAGCACCTGCCTCTTATGGACTGTGGATCCGTATTTACGCACATTTGGTTCCGCTGCCGCATTTGCTTCCGCGGCCCCACTTCTGGTTCACTCCTCCTCCCTTGTCCCCGAACCACCACCTTCCCCCTTTGCCCGTTCAGTAGTTAGTTCACTCTTCCCCTCCGTGTCTTGTAGTTCGTAGACTCGAGTCATTCTCAATAGACCGCCTCGTCTCACGTAGTCTCACGCGCGCGCCTGTCCCGGAACGCCCGTACGGAGTGTTCTCTGCCGGAAACCCTCGGCAGGGTTCCACTTTTTTTTACGTGGCAACGAGCGTGTAAACCCTCTATCGTCTTCGTCTGGACCGTCGTGTCGCTTACCCGTTGTCTCGCAACAGTCACCGGACTGTCGCACCTCCACCCGTACCCGTCCCCGACGCCTAGGACAGTCACCAGTCTGTTCCGCACGCGCCGCACCCGTACCCGTACCTGTACCCGTCTCCGGCGAGCCACCACTCGCGCATACATCCACCGAAAACCCGCATACACGCTGTTCAGCGGTTGCCCACCGTGTCGACGTCAGTTTCCGGAGCCCCGGTAACGTCGACGGCCTCCTCGCCGCTGTCTTCACCGCCCGCCTCTCCACAACTCGCTGTGAACACGCCCTCCCCTCCACCTATCTCTTCTCCGCGGCGGGCACCTCGCACGCCCTCACCACCGTCCGTGTCTCCGTCTCGTCCTACCCGACTCAGTCCATCGCTCCCGGTGCACACACCGGAGAAACGTCTCCCGTCGCTCCCACCGTCACCGTCTCGCTCCATCGCTTCCGAATCCTCCTCGTCGAGCGAGGATACCCACGCCTCCATCTTCATCACGTACAACAGCATGGTCGCCACGCTTGCACGACTGGAACACCACGGCTCGTCGAAGGCCCCCACCTTACACCCGGGGGAGCTCACGGCCGAAATCTTGTGCGACTTCGAGGATGCGTGTGCGAACTTCTTCAACCGCCACAAGAAGAAGATCGAGGAGGCAGATCAGACGAGCGCCATCCTGGGTGAGCTCCTCGATTTCCGAATCCGAGACTGGATCGCCTGCGACCGATCGACCATCGAGGCCCTACCGTTCAAAAACTTTATGCAGAAGCTGCGCGAACAGTTCCTCGACAAGGACTGGGCTGCCACGCTTCATACCGAAATCCTCCACAGTCGCCAGAAGGGAAACGAAACGTTCGCGGACTACAGCATCCGTGCGATAAAGAAAAACACGGTGCTGAAGCGCAGCGACGCCGGTCTTGAGCCCCTTCGCCTTATCCAAGTGCTCGAAGCGGGTATAGCCGACACGTTGGTCGCCCGGGTCCGCTCACACCATGACGAACTGGAGGCGTCGAAGAAGCCGGACGTCTTGAAGGAAAAGGGCATCCACCCCTGGCTCCAGTCGATGAAGAGGATCGACGACCAACAGAGGGCGGAGTTTGCCTCGTTCCAGCTGTATGCGGCGCGGATCCGCGCGGAAACACGCGGCGGGCAGGCCCTGGGTGAGCCGTCGCGGCGGGGAAACACTGCATCGGTGAACGCGGTCGTAAAGGATGTTCCGCCCCGACCCGCGTCGGCCAACCGAGTCGCGCCACTCACCGTCGCAGAGCGCGCCTTGTTGCGAGCGCACGACGGCTGTTACAAGTGCCGAGAGTTTTACGCAGGACACCGTCGGGACGCGTGCCCAAACCCTTGGCCGGACCCAGCCACCTACCGTACCCTGACGGAGAACGACGCTCTGGCGGCCAAACGTGGGCGGAGCCACTCCGCGCCGCCGGCAACGCGTAGAGGCGCACCGGTCGCCGCGGTCGCATCGTCGTCGCGGGTCGAAGACGTCGAGGACGACGAGAACCTACCCGCACACCCTGTCGCAGCCGTCATGGGCATGGGGCGCGTATCGTACACCCGGTCACCGAGCGTCGAAGACCTGTATCGACCTGAGGATGACGACCGTAGCTCGGTACGTCCCACTGTCCCGTTAACGAGCGGTCCTTCGATTGTAGCAGCCGTTGCCCGAGTGCAGGCTGACCCCTTCCGCGAGCCTCACCTGCTCTGGGATTGTATGATCGATGGCCCGCTCGTTGATGAACCATTCCAGGCCCAAGCGCTGATTGATAGCGGCTCTCATACAGTCCTCATGCGGGAGCCGTTAGTCCGCAAGCTGGGTCTCACGCTGCGTGACTTGCCACAGCCCGAACGTGTGGAGCTGGCCATGGCGTCCGAAGGAAAGAAAGTGACCGTGTCTCTGTATCAGTATGTCAAATTGTCCGTTTCTCATCCCTCCTTTCGCTGGAAGTCTCGAACCGTCCGCGCTATTGTAACACCGGGCCTGTGTGCCGACTTAATCTTGGGTCTCCCTTTCCTCGTCCGCAATGATATCGTCATCGATCACGCCGCACGCACTGTAGTTCCCAAAACCTGTAATTTCAATATCCTGCATCCCGCGCCCCCTGTACCCACATCTGTACCTAAGCCTCGTCTTCGCGAGCAATTCAAACAGATTGTGGACTCCCATACATCCGTGCTCGCAGAACTTCGTACGCAAACGGCACCAACGCGGGCACGTTTGGACACAGAGAGTGTACACGCAGGACCAGCGTCCCCGCTTGCCGCCGTGCTCGAGCGAGTGGAAGTGCTCGCTGCGCAGCATCGTCTAACGGAACTTGGACTTGACATGATCTCGAGGAATAAGGACGTGTTTGAACCGATCCCGCATGCGGAACTGTTGCCATCAGATGTATGGTGCCGCATCCAACTGAAAGAGGCGAACAAGCAGATTGTGACGAGGACATACGCCTCGCCACGGAAGTACAAGGAGGCCTGGACCACATTGATCCAGGAGCACTTAGAGGCCGGGAGGATTCAGCCGTCCAACTCGGCGCATGCCTCTCCGGCTTTCCTCATCCCCAAGGCGGATCCGACGGTGTTGCCCCGGTGGGTAAACGATTATCGGATGCTGAATGACAACACCGTGCCAGACGCACACCCCCTACCTCGCGTGGATGACATCTTGGCGGACTGCGCAAAGGGAAAGATCTGGTCGAAAATGGACATGACCAATTCTTTCTTCCAGACGCGAGTTCATCCGGACGACGTCCACAAGACGGCGGTGTCCACACCTTTGGGCCTATACGAATGGTTGGTTATGCCAATGGGTCTTCGGAATGCACCGGCAATACACCAGAGGCGGGTAACCGCCACTCTACGCAGCTTCATTGGCCGGTTCTGTCATGTCTACTTGGATGATATCGTCATCTGGTCGGACTCAGTGGAGGAACATGCCCGACATGTACAGATGATCCTTAACGCACTACGCGACGCCAAGCTGTACTGCAACCCAAAGAAATGTCATTTCTTCTTACTCGAACTCGACTTCTTGGGTCATAGGATCTCACAACAGGGCGTGGAAGCGCAATCAACCAAGGTCGATAAGATACTTGAGTGGCCCGTCCCTAAGAATGCAACAGATGTTCGTGCCTTCCTAGGCCTCGTACACTACATCGCCGTCTACTTGCCTAACCTCGCCGAACATACCCGGATTCTGACTCCTCTGACTACCAAAGAGGCGAAGCGTGAATTTCCCTGCTGGCAGCCGGAGCACCAACGGGCTTTCGAGGCGATAAAGTCGCTGGTTGTTTCGCGCGAGTGTTTAACGGTGATCGACCACGAGCATCCAGGTGAGAACAATATATACGTCACTTGCGATGCCAGCGACTGGCGCACCGGAGCAACCTTGAGTTTCGGACCCACATGGGAGACGGCACGGCCAGTCGCATTTGACTCCATGCAACTGAAAGGGGCGGAGTTAAACTACCCCATCCACGAGAAGGAATTGTTAGCCATAATCCGTGCCTTGAAGAAGTGGCGAGCTGACTTACTGGGTATGCCGATTTTGGTGTACACTGATCATCGGACGCTGGAAAACTTCAACACACAGCGGGATTTGTCACGTCGCCAGCTTCGGTGGCAGGAGTTCCTGTCCCAGTATGACATCAGTATTGTCTACATAAAGGGCGAGGACAATACTGTAGCAGATGCGTTGTCGCGTTTACCTCCCGATTCGTTTGCATGTGAACGATTGGACGCCTGTGCGGCGACAATGTCCATAGGGCCGGATGCGGAGTTGTTGAAAGGGATCCGGGAGGGGTACGCAAAAGACGACTTCTGCGTACGATTGATGGACAACGTACAGTCCACACCCGGCGCGGAGACGGCGAATGGACTCTGGTACCTTGGAGGCCGGCTAGTGATTCCTCGCACAGGAAACGTCAGGGAACGTCTGTTCCGTCTCGCACATGACAATGCCGGACACTTTGGTGCTGACAAGAGCTACGCGCACCTGCGGTCCTCCTATTATTGGCCGAACATGCGTAGAGATCTTGAATCCGCGTACGTACCTTCCTGCGGACCGTGTCAACGGAACAAGGGACCCACAGTCAAGCACACCGGACCCCTACATCCCCTGCCGGTGCCGGACGAACGCGGCGATAGCGTCGCGATGGATTTCATTGGCGAGCTGCCCGAAGACCAAGGATGTAACTGCGTCCTCACCATGACGGATCGTTTGCACTCCGACGTACGTGCAGTACCCACTCGGACAGACATCACGGCCGAGCAGTTAGCGGTGTTGTTTTTCGACAACTGGGTTTGTGAAAATGGCTTACCGAGTGAGATCATATCCGACCGAGACAAATTGTTCATGTCTGCGTTTTGGAAGGCTCTACACAAGCTCCTGGGCGTGGATCTAAAGATGTCAACGGCCTACCACCCGCAGACAGACGGACAAAGCGAACGCACCAATAAGACCATCAACCAATGTCTCCGATTTTACGTCGAGCGCAACCAGCGAAACTGGGTGCGCGCGCTGCCGCGCATACGCTTTCAATTGATGAGCAGTGTTAATGCTTCCACTGGCAAATCAAACTTCCAATTGCGTTTTGGACGCAGCCCGCGGATGGTGCCACCGATGGTACCTGCCCAGGTGACAGAGCTGAATGTCGCGGAAACAGCGGCCTGGCAGGCCGTCGAGCGTTTGCAAATGGACGTAGCCGAAGCGAAAGACTGCCTGATCGCAGCCAAAGTGAACCAGGCGGCGGCAGCGAACGCGCATCGAGGTAAAGAGGAACAATATCAGGTCGGCGAATTGGTGATGCTGTCCACCGCAAACCGCCGGCGGGAGTACAAGCGCAAGGGTCAACGACGCGCAGCGAAGTTTTTCCCGCGCTACGACGGACCGTACCCGGTGAAGGAAGCTTATCCCGACACGTCCACATACGTGTTAGATCTGCCCAGCTGGATGAATATCCATCCCACTTTCCACACTTCCGAATTGAAGAAGCATAAGGCCAACGACGCCGTGCTATTCCCGGAACGAGAGTTTGAGCAGCCTGGGCCCGTGTTGACCATCGACGGTCGCGAGGAATATTACGTCGAGCGCATCCTCGACGAGCGCCCCCGAGGTCGGGGAAAGCAGTACCTCGTGCGCTGGAAAGGCTGGGGTCCCGAACACGACTCTTGGTTGCCGGGGCACGAGCTCCAGAACAACGCTGCCTTAGACGCATGGCTGACTTCTGCTTAAATACTAACGTGCTCCCCGCGCAATGCTTTAGAGGCGGGGAGGGTGTAAGCCCGCGGCTTACGACGATATCAGCACCTGCCTCTTATGGACTGTGGATCCGTATTTACGCACATTTGGTTCCGCTGCCGCATTTGCTTCCGCGGCCCCACTTCTGGTTCACTCCTCCTCCCTTGTCCCCGAACCACCACCTTCCCCCTTTGCCCGTTCAGTAGTTAGTTCACTCTTCCCCTCCGTGTCTTGTAGTTTGTAGACTCGAGTCATTCTCAATAGACCGCCTCGTCTCACGTAGTCTCACGCGCGCGCCTGTCCCGGAACGCCCGTACGGAGTGTTCTCTGCCGGAAACCCTCGGCAGGGTTCCACCGCCTTCGACGATGTGTTGGATGCCACATCCGTTCACTTTCAACAGAAGGTGTATGCAGCCGTGTATGCCCTTTACGCTGCTGTATGCGATGTAGCCTCTGACATCAGTGACAGATACGATAAGTTGAAGATTGGTGTGGATGTAATCCGACGCGACGAGGACTTGGTTGAACTGGCCAACTCCATGAACAAGACGCTGAAGGATCACATCAAGTAAGTTGGTTATTTTCTCCAAGAAGCATGCTCACACGGCTCAACAGGGTGTATGCTAACCTCAAGCGCGATGATGGCAAGAACGTCAAAGCCAAGAAGGCCGTAGCCGAAGACCCGGGTTTCAACACTGGGATGTTGAAGGCGAAATGGCGGCGGCGAGCCGCCAGTAACGTGTTGAACTAGGAAGGCGCCTACCGGGCTGCCGGGTTCAATCACAGGCCGGACCGGTTCTATGGGAAGCTCCGGGTCCGTGATGTCATCTATGATGTCATTTGTGTGTTATCACATGGCTACGCCACTTACCTTGTATGTCGTGGGAACGTACTATACAGTAGCTTAGATAAGCGGTCTCCTCATGTATATAAGGACCCCAGTAGCGTAGCTCAATCCCCAGTACCTTCAGTCGAAGTACTTGCGTGTGCATCAAGCATCAGCAACCTTGCAGGTAAGTTGTGAGGGCGCACCACTGCGTGGAGCTGCCTGCTCAACAGGTTATGAGCCCTGGTCACTGCCTGAGTACTGCGCCTCACTGGCTGCGTCTCAGTGTGCGCACCAGCTTACCTGTGGCTTCGCCTTAGTGGCTTGAAGCCAGGGGGGACTATGCGCGTACATCGCTGCAGGTCTTAGCGCAACTCTGTTGCTGCTACCCCCAGCACATGCACCATAGCGGTGGTTGCGCCTCTAAGGCTGCACTCGTCATTGAGTAGAGGGCTGACGACATTGTTGTCAGTATTCCCCATTTACCGAGTTTATCACCTCAAACCCCTCTACCAATGGCCTCCAACACCCTCTTCACCGCTGTCCCCGTCTTTGACGGCTCCAACTACCGCGCCTGGGCTGAATCGATGTCAGCCTTCCTCATGGCGCAGGAGGTCTGGATCATTGTCAATTCGACCTGGCCCCAGCCTACTCTGGACACAGAGAATCCCTCAGTCTACTACGAGTGGCTGCAGCGCGATCAGAAGGCACAGGGGTCGATCCGTCTTCGCCTGACGTCGTCCGTCAAGGCGGCCGTCAAGAACAAGACGACCAGCAAGGCCCTCTGGGACGAGCTGAAGGCGCTCTATGACAAGCAGACCCCCGCCGGTGTTTACAAGGAGTTTAGGACAGCGATCAATGCTCGGATCCCTCCGAACGAGCACCCGAACCCGACGTTCGCTAACATCGCAGCTGCGTTTGACAAACTCGCGGGCGAAGGGATCAACATCCCCGCTCCACTGCGGGCGATGATAGCGCTTAATGTGCTGCCCTCCCGGTACGACACTGTCGTCACCACGATCCTCCAAGCCAAAGAGCTTACGGAGATGAAGATCGACTACGTCCGGGAGTCTGTCGTCATTGCCTACGAGCAAGGCGGCAAGCAGGCGTCATCTTCGCAGAGCGCGAAGAAGATCTCCGCCGTTAAGCGTAAGCACGGCGAACCAAACTTCAACCAGCAGCAGCAGCGCCAGGATGGCAGCAGCAGCGGCGGTGCGAAGGAAGGTCAAGGCAAGGGCAAAGGCAAGCAGCGCGGTAAACGCAGCGGCAAGCAAGTTAAGTCCCGCGCCAACCAAGGAGATCATACGGACCATGCGCATCTCGCCTCGCAGGCGTCGATAGCGGGTCCTACCACCTCCAAAGTCGTCGAGATAGCGCCTTCGGGCAGCAAGTCTCACACCGTCACCACCCGTCC